TACATACTTAAAGGCTTGTATTGTAAATTTCTTATTTTTTCTATAAAAATTTTAAATAAAATATATGTAATTGCTTATTACATCTTTCGGTTATAACAACTGTAAACAAACGGTCCCTTGAAGGTCGTTATAACCGATTTTCACTGTAGTTATTATAACCGAAACATCTCTTTAAGGTAATCCTTTATAAGAGTTTTAAGTTTCTGTTCATTTTAGCTAGTTGCAAGTATGTGTTTGTATTCATAGAAACAGTTATTTGAGAAATTCATAGTTTAGTTACTCTAAGAGAACTGCCCTATTTGATAAGGGATGAGGTTCGGGAGGTATGTATTTCACTTAGAAAAATAAACCTTATAGATATCAGCCTTCATTATGTATATTAATTATAATTAATAATTAGTCTCTGTGATATTCAAAATACAAACATTCATGTTTGTAACAACAATCAACTTATCTACCCATCATTTTTTAAGGCATATAAGTAACTATATTAATCAAAATACAAATTGAAGTACCCATGTGCTTAAAAAATAAACTTTGTACCCAACATTGTTAAAGTAAACAAAAATAGACCCTTCATGTAAAGAACCAAATAAATAAATAAGCGGGGGAAGCATAGGGGGTAGTCTAGACGACTCGACACTCTCCACTATGCCGATGGCTCTCGAATGTCACACGAACGAACATGGTTTCGGTTTCAGTCTTAGTTTTGATTTTCTGCCAAAACCGAAACTCTAATTTAGCGCCAAAACTGAAACCGAACACCGAATACTGTTCTCTTTTTTTAGTATTTCTTTGTGCTTTCATTTGTTGTTTTCTTTATAATTTTTTCTCTTTCAAAAATGTTTTGCTTTAATTTGTTTATCTATTGGAATTGTATATATTTTGCTCTTGTAATAAAAAAATTTTATTCTCCATATACAAAGGAATTGAAACAACCTTATAATAATAAATAATTTAAACAATGGACTGAACAAAGGATGAGTTGTCATTCTAATGAACTATTTTTACAGGGCATTTTGGAAGAAAATGACATATTCAGAAACGCCCAGGCCGGCGTTCTGATCTCCACCCAGAGCCACCCAATACTCAGGCGGAATCGCATATTTGACGGTCTCGCTGCCGGTGTTGAAATCACCAATAACGCCACTGCAACCCTGGAATTTAACCAGATTTTCAACAATCGTTTTGGCGGCCTTTGCCTAGCTAGCGGCGTGCAACCGATCGTTAGAGGTAACAAGATATTCAACAACCAGGACGCTGTTGAAAAGGCGGTAGCCAACGGGCAGTGTTTGTACAAGATATCCAGTTACACGTCCTTTCCTATGCATGACTTCTATAGATGCCAGACTTGTAACACCACTGATAGGAATGCCATTTGCGTTAATTGTATTAAGACTTGCCATGCTGGACATGATGTGGAGTTTATTAGGCATGACAGGTAATTTAAATAAGTTAATAATTATTTATTTAATTTAGGATTATGTAAAACATATATTATTTTAATATACAACTTGTCTCACAATGACCACAATTGGAATATTTCTAAGACTACTGGGCCTTGTGAAAATTTCAAGAAAAGTTGATAATTTTATTCTTTTAAATGAAATGCCATATTTTGTATTCAATTTTTCGTTTTGAAATTAAATGGGTCCCAAAAAATTTCTTGTTTAAAAATTTTGTTTTTAATAATAATTTTAATCACATAACTTGAACAAGTGAGGAACTTTACCATTTATGGACTGCAGGTGTAAACATTCAGTTTTTGAAAAATATGCGTAAGATGATTAAGATGTAGGGTCTTCGGAAATGAATAACAACTTTTAAAGTATACTATACTCAACGGCCGAAATTATAGATAGTGATTCATCGCTAGCTCTTGGACAAGTAAAGAGGATGAGGCGTGCGGGGATCGAAAATCCATAGGCGTGTATACGTAAAAGGCAACAAGATGTAGAAAATATGGAAAAAATATAATAAAACATAACATCTATTATTTTTAGAGGTTTTATCGAGAAAACTTCAAAAATATTTTAGTAACATTTTGTTTTTAAATTTTAAGTGTTTTCTATAAAACGATGCCCTCTTGGGCATCGATAACCTACCACCACCCGGCTTACGCCACCGCAAAATATTGTAATGTTTACTATTAACACGTTGACTGCGAGATAATCTCAACGTACTTTGTCCGTGACTGCGATACATATCTTCGGGGATATGTAACAAAACTTCTTCTGTGTGCGGTACATATCCCTGGGGATATGTAATTTTTTTTACATTTGACCCTATAAAATTAAAAATAACACAATTATTGCTATAAACTTGCATGTATCTGTAACTATATATATCCTAGGATACTAACGTTTTCATTCGCAAAGAGTTTTGAAAAGAAAATAATAGAAAAATCAATATTTCTAAAAAGTATAGATTCTGCAACTTCCACAAGATTTTTATAATGAGTACATACCCCCCCGAGGTATGTACCGCAGTCAACGTGTTAATATATTTATTTAAGTAGGTACTTACATATTTTATAATAATTATCACGAATATTATCACTGTCACACTTTCACTTCACTGCCACANAACTAATATTTGATTCTATACAAAAAAGGGTCTTAATAATATTGTGAATTAAAAATTCTCTTGTATACATGAACAGTGTCTTCTTATATTTTGTACTTCCAATCATTATTTTTGTAGAAAAGTTTTATGAATTTTCCCGAAGTGCCTGAATTTTATATCAGTTCAAACAAATGAACATTGCATTGTAAGTGGGTTAAAATTGACGAACTTTTGTTGTTTTTTTTTTTTAATGAAACATGTATGTTTTACAGAGCTAGACAGAACATCTTCTGACTGTTGATACTGACAATTTTTTTGGTGATATCTCTTTTACTTTAAGAAATCAATATTGTATCATTATTTAAGGAGGTGTTGTATTCAAATATGTAAAAATATACACGGTGTTACAATTAAAATTTCCCACCTGAAAAATATTGGAATAAAAAATAAAAAACAAAAAAAACCTGTGTAAGTTTTGGTATTTTGGAAGCTACCCCTTAGGCAGGGACCTAAAATACCCTTAAATTTTAAATGGCTCCCTATGTCGAGTGACACCTCATCATTTAAAGAATATCAATGAATGAAAAAATGTTATTTTATTAAATGTTCAAATTGGGTTTCCTTTGCCTTTTGACTTATTTAATAACATTCTTCAACAATTCGCCAACGAAGTGAGTTCGGTCATGGTGCATTTTTCGACGTGTCCACATAGAAAAAAGTCTAAGGGCGTTAGATCTGGCTTTCTGGGAGGCCACTCAATTGAACCTTTGCGTTCTATCCAATAATTTGAAAAGTTCAGATTAAGAAAATCACACAGCTATGGCATCCTGCTGAAAAACGTTATCAGATAACGCCCAAAATGCTTGGAAATATTCGTTCGGAAGTGGAGCAAAGATCTTATTATTGTATGGAAGCAGAGGGAAACACTTAATAAAATAACATTCTTTCATTCACTGCTATTCTATCTTATTTTTTAAGTGATGATTTTATTGTTATATCCAAATCAAAATTTAAAAAGTCGTATATCGTTGTGAGCAGAATTGAAAAAGCATTAAAATAGGCTCAATAAGCTCAACATAGGCAGCCATTTAAAGTTTATGGGTATTTTATGCCCCTGCCTAAGGCGTAGCTTACAAGACACCAAAATTTACGACATATGTATCCCCCTTGAAAAGAAAATCGACGTGTCTCGGGCTTTTTTGTTTTTTTTTAATTCCGATATTTTCCAGGTGGTAAGTTTTAATTGGAACACCCTGTAATGGTGTTCCATTGAAAACACAAATATTAGTTTATTTCAAAACTTTTGCAACGTTTATTTGTCAATTCTATACAAAATTATGTATACAGGGTGTTCCGAAATAAGTGTCACAACGGAAAATTGTAAATTCCTCTTGAAAAAAGAAACATTGTTTTCCTCTTCCATTTTTCTCTCCGGGCTTTCGTTTTCGAGATACATGGTGTCAAAACTTTTTATCCCCACTTGATTATATTTCTTATGGGGTCACATGAAGAGCATTGTCTATGAAACCCCCTGTCAATACGGTCGAGAATTGACCGCTAGGGTTGAAGCCACAGCGGAACAAATTAGAAATACCCAACAAATTATGAACAACGTTCATAGAAACATGATCCGACGATGTAATGCGTGCATTCAAGCCAACGAACATAATTTTAAACAGTTTTTGTAAATTTTAGTCGCTAAAGTGTTAAAAAATTATTTTTAAGCTTCTTTAAGTTAAAATCCCATCTTTTGTTAAATTTCGTTAAAATTGTTAATTATTACTACCTATTTTTTGAAATTTTTTTAAATGTTTTTGTTCATAAAAAGTCATTTTTCTTGAAAATGGTTGACTTTAGAGCAATGAACCAAGAGAACTCTTTTTGTGTAAAATTCATTGGCGCTTTAGAATTTGCTGTCAAATGTCAATTTTTCCAGTGGCGTAAAAGTGAGGGAAAACACTTACGATACCTTAAAATTTCCACCACTGGCACGCCCAATGAATTCGAGAAGGATGCGAAAAATTGCTATTGATAGTGGTAATGTGTGTACAAAAGCTCAGTCCTATAGTTCAAGCGGTTCCTAAGATATTGGCAAAAAACTAAAAAGAAAATGAAAGTTTTGACACAGTGTATCTCGAAAACGAAAGCCCGGAGAGAAAAATGGAAGAAGAAAATTATATTTTTCTTTGCGACACTTATTTAGGAACACCCTTTATATTTACATTCATAAAATTGTGTTCTATTTCAAATATGTAATAATATACAGGGCGTTCCTTTTAAAAAAAAAAACATCTCAGTTGAAATCTAAGAATTATGTAATATTTTTACTGATAAAGTTAATTTTCTCACTATTTTTTATCCAATATTTAAATTTAACTTTGTCTAGATTATAGAAGTTATTTTATTTATATTGCAAAAATTGTTCTAGTAATTTTTTAACTCACTGTATCTATTGCTCAATATTTATACTTTTTTTTTTATGTATTGTAAACAATACAAAGTGATATTAAATATTTTCAAGAGGATACAGAACTTGCAAAAATAAGCAAATTTCCCAAAAATTGCCTAAATGAATGAATTTATTAAAATAATATATCAGTATATTTTTTTTTAGGGGTATTTCGAAGCTAACGACATTCATAACAACCGTATAGCCGGATTTGAGGTGAAAGCGGGAGCCAATCCGACAGTGGTGCACTGCGAAATCCACCACGGTCAGACTGGTGGAATTTACGTGCATGAGAATGGCCTCGGCCAATTCATAGACAATAAAATACATTCGAACAATTTTGCCGGTGTCTGGATTACGTCTAACAGTAACCCGACGATCCGGCGTAATGAAATTTACAACGGTCACCAGGGTGGGGTTTACATTTTCGGAGAGGGTAGAGGACTGATCGAACACAACAACATTTACGGCAACGCTCTGGCGGGCATTCAGATAAGGACTAATAGTGACCCCATAGTGCGACACAACAAAATCCACCATGGGCAGCATGGTGGTATTTATGTCCACGAGAAGGGACAAGGTCTGATCGAGGAGAACGAGGTGTACGCTAACACCCTTGCTGGTGTTTGGATCACCACGGGCAGCACTCCCGTGCTTCGCAGAAATCGTATTCACTCGGGCAAACAGGTTGGAGTGTACTTCTACGATAACGGGCACGGCAAGTTGGAAGACAATGACATCTTCAATCACTTGTACTCGGGTGTGCAGATCAGGACCGGTAGTAATCCTGTGATTCGTGGTAATAAGATCTGGGGTGGGCAAAATGGTGGAGTGTTAGTTTATAATGGTGGACTCGGTTTGCTGGAGCAGAATGAAATCTTTGATAATGCTATGGCAGGAGTTTGGATCAAGACAGATTCTAATCCCACTTTGAAGAGGAATAAGATTTTTGATGGACGGGATGGTGGAATATGCATTTTCAATGGAGGAAAGGTAAGTTTTACTTATTCATTATATTTGTTGCAGTGCTTTTTTGAAACTGTGATCATATTAATCCAATTAGTAGAATCATTGACTATTATTCAAAAAATGTATTGGTTTATTTAAAACAATGTTTGAAAAAAGTTAAAAAAAAACATTTAAAAATTTGTATTTTCTGTGCATTAAGTTGTTAGAAATTAGATATTTTCATTTTTTTTAAATCTAAACACAGCTTTTAAGATCCAGGTGTTAGTTTGTGAAAATGCCTTAGTTATTTCTAAAATTATCGGAAATAAAATTGATGTGATTATACAGGGTGTAACTGTGAGTGGAGGCAGGTTTATTGTATTGTGAAAACAGATTGAGAGCTACAACATGCATTGTTGTCAAATCTTATTTCTCAAGAGAAACCCTTTTCATAATATTACAATTCAATTTAACAATGG